GTGGATGTGTTTTTTTTCCTTGTTAGTCACCATTTCACCCTCCTCTGTTTGCTCTCTTCTTTGGCCTTCTTTCCTTCAGAAAGGCAATGCTTGCTCTGGGAAGCCTTCCCTGATCCTCCTTCTTTGGATAGGTCATTTGTGTACCTGCTTTATCCCCTTCTGAGATCTTGTTCTCCATCTAGATCTGACTTTGTCTTCCTGTGATTTGGTACAGAGCCTTTTACCTGGTGAGTGCTGCATTTATATTTAGTCCATGGAGTTGTTTCCTGCCATGGACCATACCTACCAGAGGTCTGATACTCTCCAACCTTTCTTATGCACCTGTCCAAATCATTCCTTTCTTTTTTTTTTTTTTTTTTTTACTTTTAGGCAATTGGGGTTAAGTGCCCAGGGTCACACAGCTAGTACGTGTCAAGTGTTTGGTCTGAGGCCGGATTTGAACTCAGGTCCTCCTGACTTCAGGGCTGGTGCTCTATCCACTGTGCCACCTAGCTGCCCCGGTATTCCTTTCTTTGAGGCCTGGCTCAATCCTGTCTAGTCTGTGAAGTCTTCTGTAATTATTTTAGCCCACACTGATCTCTTCTTTTAGAATTTCACCATCTCAGAGTTGCAAAGCATGTCAGAGGTCATATAGTTGAATCTGTATCTGAGCAGGAATCTTCTCTATATAATGAGTCAAGTGAATATCTAGTAATGGAGAACCAGAATAGCTAAGCTGCCTCAATTTTTCCTTACATGGGACCTAAGTCTGACTCTATAACTTTTACCCATTATTCTTAGTTGCATTCTTGACGACCAGGCAAAACTAGTTAAACCTTCTTCTGCATGTCCGTTCTGTTTTTTCTCCTGTCCATGCTAAATGAGCTCTCATCTTTTCAGTCATAAGATGTCATCTGTAGCAATCATTATGAACTGGAGGAGTCAAGGAGTATTTAATGGAGGAGGCAGGACTAGTGAATGGGATGAGAATTTTCTCCACTTGTGTAGCACTTAGTATGGGTGCAGAATATATTAGTGCTTAGTTATATGCTGTTTCATACTGTTGACCAATTTTCCATGTATGGAAAAATTTCCCAACTAGATTATCAGTACCTTCCCAATCTCAATGAATTGGTGATTAAGTTCAACTATACCCTGTTCTCTATTCTCAAATTTCTTTTCCTCCAGTCCCTTGCTCCTCATGCCTTGTCAACCCTCAACTCTGGATGTCTTCCATCCTTTACCTCCTTTTATCCTACTAAGTTCTGCTAACTAGAGCTGGAAGAAATCACCAAACTATTCTGACTGGGTTTGCTGCTATGTTATCTGGTCTTAGTTGGACCCTTACTGTAGCAGGGCAGTCATTCTACTCCTCTTTAATCTATTCTTTATCCCACCTACCACAGAAGCTGTTCTCAACTTTCTTTTCTACCCCTTCTCCTACCCAGTCCTCAGCTACCTTATACTTGACTGAAAAAATTTGCCTCAAGCTTCTTATTTTCCCTTTTACAATTCTTAATCACCTGAAATCATCCCTCAGTATCTCCTTTTTGATCCCCATCTTTGATGGAAATGGCTTTTGTCACCACCAACTCCACTGCATGCACCCTTGATTCCATTCTCTTCTCTTGGATTGCCCCCATATCATACCCTCCCTCTGTTTTCAGTCTCACCCTATCTAATGCTTCCTTCCATGCTATCTACAAACATCCCTGTTTACCATATCCTTAAAAATCTTTCAGTAGAGCTTACTATCCCTGCTAGTCTTCATCATATCTCTCCTCTCCTCTCCTCTCCTCTTCCACTAAAGATCTTGAAAGGCATCTGTACTTAGTCCCTCCCCTAGATTCCCAACTAAATTGTCAGTACCCACTTCCTCTTCTCTCACTTTCCTCTAAACCAGAGGTGTCCAACTGGAGGCCTCATGCCCAGAGGGATCGCAGGAACCTAGTTAAAATGTAATTGGGAAATGTTGAACAAAATAAATAAAAATACAATGCAATCTAGTTAATGTTAATTTGTGGCTTTCTAAGTCAGTAGTGTCCAGCAGGGATTTTTTTTTTATTTGTTTCACACCACTGCTCTAAACCTTCTGAATTCTGATTTCTAATCTCATTAATCAACTGAAATTACTTTCTCCAGAGTTATCTTTTAATTGCCAGATCAGCTGGCCCCAGCATTTAACACTGTTGACCACCTTCCATTGCATAATCTCTCCTTTCTTGTTACTCTATTTTCCATGCCTTTCTCTGACTACTTCTCAGACTCCTTTGGCTGGATCTTTATGTCTTGTTTATTCTCTGTGGGTTTATCCCAGAGCTCTTTTATGAGCTCTCTTTTCTTTCTTCATCCTCTCATTTGGTGATCTCATCAGATACCATGGATCTAGTTATCATCTTAATGCCCCTCAAACCACTGGCTTTGCCTCAAGAAACAATCCTTGGGAAGGTAGAACCCCTCCATCCCCCCATCACCAAGACCAACTGCCACTGATGGGACAGGCAAGCCAGCCTAGCTGAAGAAGAGAGGCACCCTGCTGGAGAGACAAGAGGCAGTTTGTGCCAGATGGCTACACTACCTAGGCCCCTACCTCCCTTCATACACTGGTGGAGATATAGAAAGAGCTTAGGATTTTGAGCCCCCAAACCCTGGAAATATCAGTGCCCCCCCCATATCCTTCAACTCTCCTACCCCCCATTTGCTCTCCACTTGGCTTGGTTTCAAGTTAGCTCTTGCAGCTATCATTGAATCATTGAGGGAACTGATCTTTGTGGAGCAGTTGCCCGCTACCACTACCAGCCATTGACCAACTGTAGCTCCCTGGCAACTAAGCTCAAGAGCTTGGGGAACAGCAGCATCCCTCAAATCACTGGCCCTGCTTTTCATCCTGGACCCCATTGCCAGAATACAGGGAGTCAACCCTTGTGGAGATGGGATCTGGCAGCTTCCTCTACTAATACTGCAGCTCCTATATTCTTCGAAACCACAGTTGCTGAAGATCTGGAAAACAAGGTTGTTGCCTCCAAAGTTCTTGGTACTGTCAAATGGTTTAACATCAGAAACTAATAAGTTTTTTTTAAATGGAAATTACATTTAGGAAGATTCATTACTATGTGCTTTGCCACTGCACTCTAAGGACCTAGGGGCCTTCGATCTGATTGCCTCTTTGTATTGTCTTCCTCTGCTAGGATGTGAGCTCCCTGAGATCAGGGACTGTCTTGTGTTTATATTTGTATGCCCAGCACTTAGCATAATGCTGTGCACCTAGGAAGTACCTACTATAAATGCTCATTCCTGATTCCCAGATCTACATATCCAGGCCTAATCTTTCTTCAGAGCTGTCTCAAATCCTCACACTGCCTTTTAGACCTTTTGCACTGGATGTCCCATAGGTATCTCAAGCTCAGTATATCCACAACAGCACCCCGCTTTCCTCCCAAACTTTCTTCTCTTCCAACTTTCTTATTACTGTCAAGGGTACTGCCATCCTTCCTGTCACCCATACTTGTAATCTTCTCATCTTCTAGTACTTGCTCCATATATTCATTCAGTTGCCAGATTTGGTCATTTTAACCTCCATAACATTTCTCATGTACATCTCCTTCTGTCTACTCAAAGGCACCACCCTAGTTCAGGCTTTTGTCACCTCTGTACTGGACCCTTGCTGTAGTTTCCTAATTATTCTGTCAGTTAGCATTTATTAAGTGCCTGCTATGTGCCAGGCACTGTGCTAATACAACCAGGAGGCAGAAGACAGTCTCTGCTCTCAAGGAGTTCATAATTTAGTGGATCTTCTTGCCTTCAGTCTCTCTCCTCTCCAGTTCATTCTCCACGTAGCTGCCAAAGTCATTTTCCTAAATCTGGACATGTCACACCTTCTCTTCCCACCACCCCTCCGCAAGTAAACTTCAGGAACAAATACAAAGTCCTCCTTTTGGTATTTTAAGCCCTTTACAATTTGGCCTCTTTCTAGTCTTTTAACACATGACTGCCCTTCATGCACTCTGTGGTCCATCTACCCTGGCCTCTTGGTGTTTCTTGCACTGACTCTCCACCTCCTGTTTCTGTGCCATTACACTGGCTGTCTCTCTTGCTTAGAATACTCTCTCTTCTTACCTCTTCCTCTTAGAATTCCCAGCTCCCTTCAAGACTCATCTCAGATACCACCTACTGAATGAAACCTTTCCAGGTCTTCCTAGTCACTAGAGCCTTCCCTTCTAAAGTCCCTTTTTATCTACTCTGAAGGTATCTTATATATACTATTTATGTGTAGGTTGTTTCTCCCATTAGAATGCAAATTCCTTGAGGACAAGAACTGTTTTTGCTCTTTCTTTGTGCATCTCAGGCTTACTTAGCACAGTGCCTCATAACATTGTAAGATTTTAATAAATAATTATTAAAGTAGATTATTTACAGAAATCCTTCCAGCTCTTTTATTCTGTGATTCTCTTTTAAATGTTTTTGTGACCCTCATAGCACCTAGCACAATTGTGAGGATGTAGTTGGCATAAATGATTAACAAAAGGAATGATTTACCATAATTTACAGGCTTATAATTGAGGGGTTTTCTAGTTCAACCCCCTTATTTTGCAGATGAGGGAAATAAAGCCCAGAGAAAGGAATTGCCTCCCACAGGGTCACGCACCCCATAGCAGATCTGGCATCTGAAATCAGAGCTGCTGACTTCTAGTCTAGTACTCTTGATGCTATATCACAGCTGCCTGATTATTGAAGGCAGCATTTGGGGCAATGGACAGGCATTCTTCTGTAGGCTGTCTAATGTGATCTTAGACACCAGGATGAACAAGTCATATGATTGGCATTTGCCTCAGTGAAATTGGTTGGGAAACTGGCTAAAGAGCAAAAATCTCACGTAATACATGCTGCCTTTCTTGGATTGGACTTTCTTAAGAAAAGAACATATAAGATGAAATGTATTTTAATTACCTTCTCTTTAAATATTAACGTGTTTCTTATGTATTTGTTTTAAATCTTTTCCATTGGTTTTCCCATTCATTAAGAGGAAAAGAAACGGAAAGAACGGGAAGATCAGATGTATCGTGAACGGTTACGGACCTTATTTGTCATTGCTGTTGTCATGACCCTGCTGAACTCTCTAAACATTAGTGTGGCTAGCATTTCCTGGAGCGACTTTGTGAATGAGATGCTGGCAAAGGGGGAAGTGCAGCGGGTCCAGGTGGTACCAGAGAGCGATGTAGTGGAAATCTATCTGCACCCAGGAGCTGTTGTATTTGGCCGACCTGTAAGTAAATCCACCAACTTACAAGTGAATTATAGGTGAATCTCACCTTATTGAGGACTTTCGTGTGAATCTGATTTTTATTTTATCATATAATTTTGCATGGTTTAGGGGAGCTGGTATTTAAAGATACCTTAAGGTATATCCTTTTGTAATGTAGATCACTGTGCCCTGATTTGTTTATTTTGTAAAATGCAATTTGGGAGTTTCCTTAAGAGAGGCAAGACTGTATTTTAAAATAATTGTGAATCCTGATCATTTGAGAAGTGTTTAGAGCCTTTTATGTGTTCAATTAGAGAATCAGGGAAACTTGATTTAGGGTTTGACATATACTACCTTTGACATGTACTAATAGCTTTATTGACTGTAAGATTATAAGTTACTGAGGAGTTGCAGATCTATATTGGCAGAGGAGGTTTCCCACACACTTATTCCCCATACAGATGCTCAGCATTGTGCTGCTGTGAGCTAGGATACAAGAGGTAGGGAGGATATGGCTGTCAAGGACCCTAAAATGACACAGATGGAATATGGAATAAAACAAATTATTTAAGTCCTAATTTTTTTTTGGTACAGATCCTGAATGTGGTAGGAGATCACTGAGAAATTTAATTGTCAGAGGAGGCTTCCTTAGAGAGACCTTGAGTTGGGCCTTGAAGGATAAGTAGGTTTTATATAGTTGGGGAAAAGAAAGAACACTCCAGACAATGGGAACAGTGTAATAAAGCCGTGAAGGTAGGACTTAATTCGTGGGATAGCTAGGAGTCCAGTGTGAATGGTCAAGAAATGGGCAGTAAAATCCGATAGGTAGACTAGACCTAGCCTTTTCAGGACTTTGAAGGCCAAGCCAAGGAGTTTAAATTTCACATGCCAACATAAGGGGCCATGGAAGGTTTTCAAGCAAGAAAAGTGACATGCTGAAAACAGTATTTAAGGGAAATGAATTAGTCAGAAATTGGCAGAATGAATTGGAGGGTCAGACACTCAGGAGGCCAGTTAGGAGTCTCTTACAGTAATCAAAATATGAGATGCTGAGGACTTGAAGTAGAAAGCTATGTAAATATGGAGGAAAAGGTAAATATAAGATGTTTCATAAGATAAATGAGCAAGTCTTGGTGATTTGTTTTTACTGTTGGTGACGAAGGATGAGTTAAAAATAACCAAGCTTGGGTGATTAGATGCGTGTCGATGCCATTGTCAGGGGTGAGGAGAGGTAAGGAGAGTGGAAGAGAGGAGTTAATTTTAAGACACTTTTAGGTTGAGGTGATGATAAAACATCCAAATGGAAATGTATGGTGTAGATAGAGACTCGAAACTAGTTCATTTGAGATAACAGGAATACTGCTGAGTATAAATCAGGGTATTTTCAGTATAACAAGGAGAATTGAAGCCATGAGAAATCAATAAACATTTGTTAAGTACCTACTGTGTGTCAGCCATGAATAAATATAAAGGGAGAAGAGCAGAGGGTAAAGGAATTTGATCCTTGGGAAGAGAATTAAGTTGGTAGCTAGAGAAAGCAGCAGGGTCAAGTGAGAACATTTCCAGGATATGGGAGGCCTGTGTGTACATTTGACTAGAAGAAAGAACTAGTGGAGAGACAGACTGAACATGTGAGAGGTGGTGGAACTATAGGAGCCAGTAATGTGACTTTAGTAGGCAGTTAGATGGGTTAGCTTTAGAGATCAGAGAGATACCTGAAGATATCTAAATCATAAGATAAAAAACAGTAATAAAAAAAATTTTAAAAAATTAGTAATAGCTCACATTTCTTATCACTAAGTCATTGCCAAGAATATTGTGTTCACATCAAATCAAAACTTCCAGCATACATAGAATGGAGATCAGCAGCCCCTGGATCTTCAGAGATGCAGCTGAATGGGGGTGGATCTTTTAAGTCATCTCCTCCTTGTTTCTCCCTTTTCCATTTTCTACTTGTGCTTAAGTTTGGATACTCTGAAACGTAATAGTTTGGATTTAAATCCTGCTCTGCCATCTTATCATCTGTTGTCCTTAAAGTAGTTTCTTAGGAACATAGATTTAGAGCTGGAAGGACCTTATAGATCACATATTCCAGCCCCTCTTGTTTTATTCATGAAGCTAACAAATCCTAGAGAGGCTGAAGGTCAGATTAAGTGTTAAGTGTCAAATTCAGGATTCAAACTGAGGTCCATTGTCTCCAAATCTAGTGGTCTTTCCATTGCCTCCATGAATTTACCTCTGTGAATTTCTATTCCCTCCTGTGTAAAATGAGATGGTTGGAATAGATTACTTCTGAAGGCCTTTCTAGTTCTAAATTTATGTTGCTTTATGAGTAGCCTTTGAAGAGCATGGGCCTTCTGCTACATTATTCCCTCTTTTTCCTGGGCAAGCCAGCAATACTTACAGAATAACCTGGGTGTCATACTGTATCTCAATAAATGGATTTTGCTAAGCCTAATTACTGGATTTTAAGAGTTGCTGTGGCCAAAGAATTCATCATCAGTCTTCTGACAATGAGTCTTTATGTTATTAGTTAGGCATATCCTTAGAAAACAGACTTGGTCTGTTGCAGGGACCATACTTCAAACATTTTCATCATAACAGAGCCTGCTAGAACTTGTGCTTCACTAATGGAGTACTCGAGAACCCAGGGTCACCTCCAAGCACTGATGAGTCATTGTTGGAGAAAGCATTCAGATCAATGAGATCACAGATCTGTTTGAGTATTTGAGAACTGTCTCTTCATAGCATGCTTCTGCAGAATTGATACCTACCTTCACTCCCATCCAAGGTACTTTTCTTTGCTCATTCCTTTAGCATTAGACAAAAATAGAGATACCATCATTTTTGGGTTTATTTCCTGACTCTCTGTTTGCAGAGCTTGAATTTTTTAAAAAAAAAGTATTCTTTATCTTTGAATGTTTTTGGCTGTGAACTTTTAAAGTTTTTGTTTCATGTCAACAGATATTGAATGCCTGGTTCATTTCTAGCTTGTCATTGTTCTTCCTAAATTGTGATTCTCAGAATTGAACACTGTACAGCAGATATAGTCTGAAGAGGGCAGTGTACTGAAGGACTCACATTGCCTGATTCTGGAAGTTTTGTCTCTCAAGATATTGCTGAAGATTCCATATGCTTTTTTGGCTGCTACATTAACTTTATTGATGCTCTTTGAGCTTTCATTCAGTAAGAATTAAGCCAATGGTGATAAGTGCTATAGGAATATAGAGGAAGGAGAGATGACTTGAGTGGTTCAGGAGTTGTTGCCCTCTGGAGATTCCATTTGAAGAGGATTGTTTGAGCCACAATCTTTGCTTTGGGTCCTTGACAAAATTATAGCACAGGGGAATTATTTCTGGATAAATCAGTGACAAGATGTTTTATACCAAGAAGCTAAAACATTGCCATGACGTTGGGAATATCTCTTCATCTCAGTGTCTTGGATCATTCTCTGGGTCTCACTAAAGTTATGCAGAGGTTATTCATTGGGTGTAGCACCTTGCACGATGCTAGTTATATGTGTCATTAAATATGTAATGATTTGTTGATTTGTCTGATTGCAATATCTGTCTGCCTATCTATCTATCTATCTATCTATCTATCTATCTATCTATCTATCTATCTATCTATCTACCTATCTACACTGCATAGTGACTAAATGAAGAGGCATTGCTGCCAGAATGACAACTATTGGCTATGATATTTTCCAAAGTCAAAAAAGAAATCTCATTGCATAATGAAGATGAAGGTTCTTTTTTTTTTGATGTAAATAATGTTTTATTTTTTTTAGTTACATGTAAAGATAATTTTCAGCATTCACTTTTATAAGATTTTGATTTCCAAAATTTTTCTGCTCTCTCCTTCCTTCCTTACCCCCCTCCCCAAGACAACAAACAATCTGATATAGGTAAAACATGTACAATCATATTAAACGTGTTTCCACGTAAGTCATGTTGTGAAAGAAGAATCAGAACAAAAGGGAAAAACCACGAGAAAGAAAAAACACAAAAAGTGAAAATAGTATGCTTCAATTTGCATTCAGATTCCATAGTTCTTTCCCTGGATGTGGATAGCATTTTCCATCATGAATCTTTTGGAATTGTCTTGGATTGTTGTATCATTGCTGAGAAGAGCTAAGTCTCACATAGTTGATCATTGCACAGTGTTGCTATTACTGTGTACAGTGTTCTCCTGGCTCTGCTCACTTCACTCAGCGTCAGTTCATGTAAATCTTTCCAGGTTTTTCTGAAATCAGCCTGCTCATCATTTCTTATAGAACAATAGTATTCCATTGCATTCATATACCACAACTTGTTCGGCCATTCCTCAGTTGATAGCTGTCTCCTCAATTTCCAGTTCTTTGCCATCACAAAAATAGCTGCTATAAATATTTTTGTACATGTAGGTTCTTTTCCTTTTTTAATGATCTCTTTGGGATATAGACCTAGAAGTGCTATTGCTGGGTCAAAGAGTATGCGCAGGTTTGTTGTCTTTTGGGCATAGTTCCAAATTGCTCTCCAGAATGGTAGGTTCAGTTCACAACTCTACCAGCATTACATTAGTGTCTCAATTTTCTTACAGAAGATGAAGATTCTTAATGTGTGTGCGGAATCATGACATTGCATGCAGATAATTTAATCCAAAAAAGTGCTTGGTTGATTAGGAAACTGTCACAGTTTCAGTTGAAGTATCTTGAAAATGATTTATACCTCCCTCTTAAAGTTTCACTTGCCTTGGGTTATTAAAAGTGTATTTTTTTTTTCATGGTAATGAGTAGTTCTTGCTTGTATACTAGACTAACTGCCATTCTGATGCATGCAAATAAAAATGAATGACTCCCTTTGATTTTGATCAAACAGATGACTTTGGGGGCCCATCTGGGAATTCTTAGCCTGGTTGACCCACCTCACACAGTGTAGCCATTTCAAATTATATGGTGTTGTGTTTTTTTTTTGGTTGTTGTTTTTTGTTGTTTGTGATGAGATAATTGAGGTTGAGTGACTTGCCCACTGTCACATAGCTAATAAGTGTCATGTATCAGAGGCTGGATTTGAACTCAGGTTCTCCTGACTCCAGGGCTGGTACTCTATCCACTGCATCACCTAGTACCCCTCAAATTATATGTTAATTAAGGTACCCACTTAGTGAAATATGGGGGTAGTGGTGGAGGAGAATTAATCACTGCTGGATGCTTTTGGGAAGCCTCTGATTAGCCAAAATAATAATTTGCAATGGGAAATCTCTCCCTTTTCTCTCCCCCAGCAGAATTTACTGAATTTTTATGAAAATTAGGTTGTGATATGAATCTGTATATAGAAGACACATTGGAAGCATTAACTTTGAATGACCTCTGGGTGGAAAAATCCTAGAATGCTATTTTCTTATACTGTTGTTAATAGCGTTCTGTGGAAATCAAGCTAGATTTTGTCATGCAGTTCCCAGGTTTTGTGGGCCTTTATTATCTTCCTATTGATCTTTTTGTACTTCCCCAAAATCAAACAAGGGTTGATTTATATGCTAATGTTTTGATATCTAAGTAAAGTAATTTTTAGCATTATAGTAACAATCCACACTCCAGCAGCATGGTTGGTTTTTTTGTTTGTTTGGTTGTTTTTTTTTGAGAAAGGACTTCCTGTCTTACTCAGGCTGCAAATACAGCGGCTGCTAACTTGCCCAGAATTGATCAACATGTTAGCTTTAACTTACTCCATTTTTCTGACCTGAGTCTCCTTGAGCAATCTGGTGGCCCTCTTCTCCCAGTTCACGTTTGTGCTGGGCTTAGTGTGGACAGCTGATGGGCTTTAGCCCTGCTGCAGCTCAGACCTTCTAAACTAGAGAGACCCACCAAACTTAGCCTCCCTAGGTGACTACAGATTATTAGGGGGTTGGGGGGTGGGGTACACTACATAGAGTTGTTCATTTTGATATGACATAAATAAAACAATTCAAAAATTTACATTGTTATATCCCTTAAATTTGGATATGTGGCAAGTATTGAAAATTTCCTTAATTGACTTTCATTCAAGCCCTTATCACCACTCACTTAGACTACTGAAGTAACCTGATTACTCTCTCTGCCTCCAGTCTTTCTCTTTTCTAGTCCCCCTTTTATACTGCTGCACTGTGGATATGTCTGAAGCATAGATGTGACCAAGTCATTTAGGTAGGTGCTCAGGGAGCTCCAATGCTTCCCTCTTGGCTATAGGATAAAATAAAAATTCTTGTTTGACATTTAAGGCTATTTATAATCTGGCTTCAGCCATCATTTCCAGGCTAGTGTTGCTCCCCCTCATTAATTGCTCCCCTCAAGCACTTTCTTATCCCTTGGTAAAGGTCTTACATACTTGCTGTTCCTTGTACCTTACATTCCTTCCCCCATTTCCATCCTTTTCACAGATTATTCCTCATGCGCAAAGTGCTTTTCTTTCCATCTTTACCTCTTAGGATCTCTGACTCCCTTGAACTCAAGTTCCTTTGCCACCTTCAGAACAGGCCTTTCCTGTGGTAGCCAAGAATTGGAAATTGAGGAGATGTCCATCAATTAGGAAATGACTGAACAAGTTGTGATACATGATTCTAATGGAATGTTATTGTGCTATAAGAAATGATAAGCAGGATAATTTCAGAAAAACCAGGAAAGACATAAGTGAACTGATACAGAGTGAAGTGAGCAGAACCAGGAGGACATTGTACTCAGTCACAGCAATATTGTACAGTGAACAACTGTGAATTACTTAGCTTTTATCAGCAATACAATGATCTAAGGCAATCCCAAAGGATTCATGATGAAACATGATATTTGTCTCCAAAGAATTGAATGCTATTTTTCACTTTCTTTCCTTCTTTCCTTTTTTTTGGGGGGGAGGGGTTGGTGGTCGAATTTTCTTCCACAAAATAACTTATATGGAAATATATTTTACAGGATTGCACATGTATAATCTATATCAGATTGCTTACTGTTTCAGAAAGGGGAGAGGGAAGAGGGAAGGGAGGAAAGAATAGAATTTGGAAGTCAAAACTTAGAAAAAAAAGAATGTTAAAAATGTTTTTATATGTAATTGGAGAAAAATTTAAAAAAAAGACTATAGAAAGGCAAAAACACACACATAACGTAACACAGAACAGGTCTTTCCTAACGCCAAGTCATTAGTTCTCCCTCTACAACATCGTCTTGTATTTATTTTGCATTTATGGTTCTGTGGACTTGTCTTCTGCAGAGACTTTTTCATTTTTGAACATCTAATTAGCATATAAGCAGGTCTATAGTTCTTGGCATATTGGTGTTCAGTAAATGCTTGTTGAATTAATGAATGAATGATTACATCATAGTTGATGGGCACAGAAATTAGGTTAAGGTCCCCTAGAGTTGAAAATATGCAGAGCATTCAGAACTCAGTGGTTTGTATTGGATTCCTACATGTTTTTACTAGCTTGTCTTGGTTTTATACATAGTTTAAAAATGAAGAAAGCAGGTGAACCATTTTTGCCGGTGAATTTGCTGCATCATAATCTGTATCATGCCTACTAAGTGTGTCTGTCTTGGGCCTTCTTCATTTTCCTCTCTATATCGCCTCACTACTTTGTGATCTTATCAGCTTCCATAGGTTCAGTTATCATCTTTTTGAAGATTGCTTCCAGATTTATTTATTTCTCTCTAGTCTCCTAGATTTATATATTCAATTCTTTCCTGAGCGCCATTCTGACATCACCAACATTACAAGCTGAATAACCTATAGGTTTCTCAAATTCAAAATATCCAAAACAAAATTCATTATCAAACCATCCCCTCCTGAGCTTCTTCATTATTGTCTAGGGCACCACTGTCCTAGTCACACAGGTTCATAGTCTTGGCGTCATCAGTGAATCCTTTCTCTTGCTCACCCCATATATCCCTTAAATGGCAGTTAGTTGCCATATTTTCACTTCTGCCTTCCCAACATCTCTCATGTGCCTCTCCTTCTTTCTCTTCACACAGCTACCATTCTATTTTAACTTTTCATCCCTTTTTTTCTGGATTGTTATACTAGCCTTCTAATTGGTGTTCCATCCCTAGTTCCTTGTCCACATGTTGTCAGAGTGACTTTCCTAAAGCATAGGTTCAACCATGTCACCATGACTTCCAGTAGCTCCCTAATATCTCTGTAATATAATAAGAAGTTCACAACCCTGCCCCGTTCAGTCTTTCTAATCTTCTTACATTCTGCCCAGGCACCCTGTGATCCATCCACAGTGACCTACTTGCTGTTCTTTGAACATGTTCTATCTCCCATCTCAATACCTGTCTACTCACCATTCCTGGAAGGTTCTTCCTCTTACCCTCCAAGCCTTAGGATTCCTGATTTCCTTTAAGACTCCGCTCACATGCCACCTACTCTGCTAGACTTTCCTGGTCCCCTCCATTTGCTAATGCCATTTTCTCTGAGATTCCTCTATATTTTCTTGTATTTTGTGATGTATATATATTGTCCTCCCATTAAAATGTTAGCTCCTTGAAGGCAGGGATTATTTTTGCTTTTCCTTTGTATTCCTAATACGTAGCACAATGCCTGGTACATAGTAAACATTTAATAAATTCTTTTTGATCGAATGAGTGAAGCATGATATAAGATTGGATGTTATAGGGGCAAAGTGTCCTAGGTAAATTTTCCTAGGGAGAAAACATGTAGCTGCCTACAAATAATTGAATAGTGAAAATTTCAAAGAGAAAAATTTTTTATGAAGAGTCTAAAAGAATGGAATTTAGAATGATGAAAATAACACAATAGAATCTCCATTGATAGGAATCCTGAAGGGAATGGAAATATTTTGGTTAATTAGATTTTAAAAGCTAAGCAGAAATTCCTTTCTCACAGGCACAGATGGAAGTCACAAAACTGGAAGGAACCTTAAAACCTTCTGGAAACAGAGGCCCAGTTAGGTGAATTCACCCAAAGTCACAATGGTAGCGAATGACAAAATTGATATGGGAACTTAAGTCTGACTCCAAGTCCAGTGCTCACTCTGCTTTGCCATGCTGCGTCTCTTATTGTTGTAATTTTTTTTCTGAAACGTGTTACTTTACTTTCTTAATACCTCAATAATTAGAGTAAGTGGAACATGATGTTTTTAATCAAGTATGAGACCTCATTTTGTTTTGTAAAGTTGTGGATGATACTGAAATTAGGCAGTGTTTGTATTAAGCTCAGGATATGAGGTTATAAAGAAAAAAGCTTCTCCTTAATTTCAGCTTATTTTCCTTTTATCTGCCTTTCTTCCAACGCTAGAATCTATCTGCTGGGTTAGTGAGAGAGGGAAGGGGATATCCATCTGATAGAGCATTTTTGTCACTTGGATTTTTGCTGTAGTTGATTCAAGGAATCAGTGGATCTTTTGAGACTGAAATAGTAAAAAGATCTGTGATATTCCAGATAAGCTTAATGGACTATTTAGGGGACAGAATAAACACTACCAATAGGTTAATATGATTCTGACAGTCCACTGCTTTGTTGTCAAGTCTCTTGGGTTTGGGGCTTGTTCACATCACTGGCCTCCTCTGCTTTGTGTCCCCAGCGGTTTACCTTGATGTACCGGATGCAGGTTGCAAACATTGACAAGTTTGAAGAGAAGCTGCGTGCGGCTGAAGATGAACTGAACATTGAAAGCAGAGACAGGATTCCAGTGTCCTACAAACGGACAGGCTTCTTTGGAAAGTATGATTGTGGCCTCAGTGTTTCTCATGACTGCTCTAAGTAGGTCAGGTTCATTTCTACCAAGTTATGATAACATGAGGGAGCAAGAAACCCCCAAAGAGCTTTGAAACTAACTAGAAGTGGTGATCTCAAGGGCATTTATTTAACAGTATAGTTCCTTGTGGGAACAGTAATTAAATGTACTCAAATACTTAAAATTTAGAAAACAGAGAATCTGTAACTTGGCTTGAAATATTTCAGTATTTTCCAGTTTTTATGACTTACTTGTTAATTTGTTAAATTTGTGAAGTTGCCAGTTTCCCACAAAGAGAAGAATGAAAAGTGTGGAAATGAAGGTCAAATGAAAACTTCATTGTGTTGTCAGCAGAAGTGTTATAGATGGGTGGAGTTGTTAGTCTTGCAACCTGAGGATTGGTCATAGAGGTCGATGGAATCAGAGGAAGTAAGTTTAGTCAAGGGGATTTGGACTTTGCTCATCAAAACAGTCATAGGATTTAGGGTCATAGATTTAGAGCCAGAAGGGATATATCATCTAACTCCTTTATTGTACAGATGAGGAAACTGAGGCTTAGGGAGATCAAATGACCAGAATCACATGGGTACTAAGTCACGGATTTGGGGTTTGAACTCAGGTTCTCTGATGGGTAGCTCAGACATAGAATAGATTTGGTGTTGGCTTAGAGCCTTGTGAGGTCATTTTAATGATAGGATACAATGTCAGGGGAATCAAGTGTTCTTGTCATATTTATATAACTGTGAACTTGAAAGCCAGTAGTCCTTTATTGAAAACAAAATTCTGAGGGGGTAAAACTTTTGGTTTTGCCGTAGGAATATTCCAGGCAAAAAGAAAAAACAAGGAGAAAATGAACTTGTAGGGTATGGGTGGCTAGGTATTATTCAGTGTTTGTTCTGGGCCATGCATTAGGAACACAAGTAGAAAAGTCAAAGAGGCGTTCCTCTCACAGAAGGAGGAGGAAGGAAACAAACATTTCTTAGTTGCTTACCACATGCCAGGCATTATGCTAAGTATGACCAATCCTCGGGTTGCAAATGTGATACAAATGCAAGCAAAAAAACAGTCCCTGTTCTCAAGGAGGGTACCTTTTATTGGAGGAAGAAAATACACCCAAAAAAAAGGAGCTGGAAAGGGAAGGGATAGGGGAGCATGATTTGAAGTTAGGAATAGGGCCAAGAAGGGGATGGAATGAGTGGAGACAACACATACAGGAGAATTCAACTTTAAGGCTGGTGGAAAGCTCTGACAGCCTTTAGAGTACAGCAGCAGAACCAGTGGCAAGGCTGAAGGGTCTTTAGTGTGCACTGTTGGGAAAGGGAGATCCTGGTGGGCGGATGGGGGTTGGGCTGGGGCTCTGAGGGGCTGAAGAGCATCCTTTGTTGGTTCATTGGTATGCAGAAGTCTGGTCAACGTTTTCCCCCCATTTGCTGATATCCCAGTTATTTTGGCATAGTTTTTTTTTGTTGTTGTTGTTGCAGTGTTTTACTTATATTTCTTTCATATATATATATAAAATTTTTTTTTTTTTTTTGGCTAGGCAATAGGGGTTAAGTGACTTTTCCCAAGGTCAGATAGCTAATAAGTGTCAAGTGTTTGAGGCAGTATTTTAACTCAGGTCCTCCTGACTCCAGGGCCAAAGCTCTATCCACTGTGCCACCTAGCTACCCCTATATTTCTTTTTAAATGCTACAAATAAAAACAGCTTGTTTTTCAAAATAAAATTTATTCTACCATGAAGTAAGTAACATGCTTGTCATTGGTGATCTCCACAACTCCATTAACTGCTAAATCCTTGAGAGAAGGATTACTTTGTTAGGGGAAAAAAAGCCCTTTTCTACCTTATTCCAGATTACTCCACTGAGTTATCCACATGATTATTTTCTTGCCTGTTTTTCACTATGTAGAACTTGAAAAATAGACATTTCTGTGATCTAAGTTTACTCCCTTCATCACTTGATCAGAAGAAATAAAAATGGGATTGTCTCATTAGAAACACACCAAACCATTCTGAATTAGGCAAGCAAAAATGCTTTTTATTGAGTAATACTGTGGCAGCATGCCGTGAGCCATGGGAAAAAAAACAAAAAAACAAAAACACCACTTTTGAAGGAGTTATGTCACCTCCTGTTTCAAAATACTGCAGGTGATTAGTAATGGCTCTTCACATGACGGGTTTGTGTGGCCAAACTTAGTCTAGCTGGGATCCCAATCAGTTTCTGACTTCTTTTTTTCCTTAGTGGCGCAAAAAAATCTTTCACCTCCCATGGTAACGAAAGAGTGGGAATTTGCCTAGTAGTGAGATTGCCTGCGTTCTTCAGTTATCTTACTCAAAGTCTTTTGATCCCATGTGGGACTTCATGTAGACCATGTTTCTGTAAGAAGCTTAAGAATTTCTGACTCTATGACAAGTGTGAGAAAGATGGATGAGATTCCTGTTATGCTCATTATCCTTTTCTAAGTAAACACTTGATCCTGGGTCTTGGATCATTTCTGCACAATGTCTGGGGTACCTTTTGTGAACTCATATTCAGTTTAAAGGATTTGATGAATTTATGGAATGTCAATAACTAGAATTTTGTTTGTAGCATAAGCTGCTTTAGAGGATGCATTCACTAAGTTGAAGCCTTGTATGGTGCATTTTGAAATTTTGCTTATATATGAAAACATGAATGAAAAAAAAACTTACCTAAGAGACTGATCAATGTGAATTGGACAGGAAAGACTTATATTTGTGGCATTTTTTTTTTCCATAAAGCCTCAGATAATTTTCTCACTTTTGAGGGTGTCAGAGGGCTGTTCATTATTATTACTTTGTTTCATTTGTAATGATTCAAAGCCTGTAACTTGTCTTTTTTGTTCTTTTTAGTGCACTTTATGCCCTGGGAATGACAGCTGTGGGTGTGGCCATACTATGGTGCATTTTCCGCCTTGCTGGGATGACAGGAAGGGAAGGGGGATTCAGTGCTTTTGTAAGTTACATAAATCATATTCAGTTGTATTTACAACCTCAGAACTTGTCTCTGTTTCTTCTTTCCCAGATGTTACAATGTAAATAAAAAATAAAAATGAATTGGTGGCAAAGATCACACTCTGTCATCTCTTCCATAATCTCTGATTCTGATTGGGTGACTGGAGGTTAAATAATAACTAGTTTTAACTCAGGCTATATGAAAAGAATCTAAATCCTTATCAAATGATTAATTTAAATGCATTCCTATAGATTGAAGTGTAGTTTGGCTTGGGAATAAGGGTGGAGGAGGCCCTAAAAGCTGAGCATGTGAGATAATTCACAAGTCGTTTATTCACACTGGCAGTCATAAGTAACAACTTTTTAAAGCATGTAGGAAGAGCCTAAAAATTGCCGTTAAATGCTACCAGCCGGCCACATTTCTTAATAGCCAGTTCTGTTTAAATGCTGATGTTTTTCCTTGCATCATTGAAGAAAACTTACCTCTTCATAATGTCTCTGCCTTTAATGAATTCTGCTCCTTGTTATAGGGCACTGTAGACAGAGGCAGTAGTGATATGAGAAAGAAATCAGTCTGTGTATAGAAAGGTAGATAGACCAAAGTATTGGTGCTGATGTACTGATTTTTTTCTCCCCTCTATAAGACTTATTTTTTCAAAATTGCTTTTTTTGTATATTTTCTAACACAGAACCAACTGAAAATGGCTCGCTTCACTGTTGTGGATGGAAAGCTTGGGAAAGGGATCAGCTTCAAAGATGTAGCAGGAATGCATGAAGCCAAATTAGAAGTCAAGGAGTTTGTGGATTATCTAAAGGTGAGAAACAAAAATTCTGGGGCAGAAAGATAGCTGAAAGTATAGAGGAAGCCTGGAGACCTTTCTTGAGGTCTCTTGATTAACCATTTCAGTCAACTCTGAGTTTTTATGTCCTAGGTAAGCATGATGGAAAGGCATTCCAGTTTTCCTAGAAGAAAACATTACGTCAGGGTTATTTTTGTGTAGAATAGGCATCATCTTCAGAACTGCAATTCCACTTTAAAAAACCTCAAACCACCTGTATTGTGGATTGATTGATAACCTATATAGCATGTAGTGAATTTGATATTATCTGTCTCTTTCCTTTTTTCATCGAGACACATTGGGCACTTACTGAATATGCAGACAGACCTACTAACCAGCTAGGAAAGCAAACTAAATCTGCCTCAGACATTTTAGGCCCTTGATGCTCTGGCTAGTGAACATCCTAGAAATTATCTTAACTGTGAAGTTGGTTTCTTGGAGTGGATTTTTCCCAGTTTGAGTTCATAGCCATACGGTTATATGCGAGGGAATAAATTATTTGATGAACATTGTACTTATAATGATCAAGGTTTTCCCTGAAGAAAAATGAGAGAATGTCCCTCTCTTCTTTGAACAGGTGGGAGATTGTGGTTGTGAAACATTGCATATGTTGTTAAGCCTGGTCCATGTTTTGTTTTGCTGAACTTTTTTTCCCCTTTTTCCTTTTTGTTCAAGGGACAACTTGCTGGGTAGGGCTAAGAGAAGGGATATATTTAGAAATGAAGGTGATGTAAAAGCAAAAGGGATCAGTAAAAAAGAAGAAAAAGAAAATAAGTTATTTGAACCTCTTAGAGCTATTTCCTCTTAAAAACTATTTGAAACCCCAAATGACTATGCTCATGTAACATGTGCTCTCCCTCTAGAGTCCAGAGCGCTTCCTCCAGCTTGGTGCCAAAGTCCCAAAGGGTGCTTTATTGCTTGGACCCCCAGGTTGTGGAAAGACTTTGTTGGCCAAGGCAGTAGCTACGGAAGCCCAAGTGCCATTCCTGGCAATGGCTGGCTCAGAGTTTGTAGAAGTGATAGGAGGTGAGTCGTCAGCAAAATAGTTATAAATTGGGGGGAAACGTGTAATAGCTTTTGAGTACCCCAGTTGGTGAAAGAAAAATTTAACCTGCTTCTGAATTCCTCCTGTTTTGTGCTCCTTACTTCTTCACATGCAAAATTAGTGGAGAGTTGGGAAAGAAATGGAGAAAGAAAGTTGAGATGTTATAGCTTAAAATTTATTAATCATTTTAGATAATCATGTCATTAAAATGAACAGTTTTCACTTAAAGCCAGGAGGTCTGCTGGTAGTGAGCTCTGTAGTTTGGTTGGGAGTGGCTTCCACTCTAAATATATGTCTTATGTCTGTCTGTCTGTAGCTGTGTCTGTATGTAATGGTGTCCTGTTAGGGTTTGGAAATTATCACTGTAAGTATACCTACTCTCTGATAGGAGAAGATAATTACTTTACCAACTAGTTAGTATTGTTTCTTAATCTTTTCCAGTCCCTTATTCTTTCCTGTTTTCTTCTCAGGTCTTGGAGCGGCTCGAGTCCGAAGCCTGTTTAGAGAAGCCCAGAACCGAGCCCCGTGTATTGTTTATATTGATGAGATCGATGCTGTGGGCAAGAAGCGATCTACTACTATGTCTGGCTTCTCCAACACTGAGGAGGAACAGACTTTAAACCAGCTTTTGGTTGAAATGGATGGTTAGTATGCTGCTGACCGTATGTCCACTCTTCCAGTTTGTCTGAAAGGCAGTCTCTACTCTCTGTACAGATCAAGTTGTTTAGTTTTGAATCCAACAGTGTCTGCCACCGCCCTTCTTGAGGGTGGGATACCCACACGATTCTCCAGTGGAGCCGAGGAGAGCAGCCCAGCTGTTCCCCATACTTGCAGCCACCACTTGCCTTTGCTGTAATCCTCCCTAGGCAGATGGGTTGGTAGTCAGGTGAGCAGATGGGCCAGAAATCACTCGCTACCTTCCCCATCTATACCCAGTGTCGATGGGGCTGGATGGTCATTTTTCCTCCTTCCCCTAATTCAGCAGGAGCAGTGTACATGAGGCAGGGTTCTTCTTTCCTCTCTCTGCCTCCCCTCCGCCCCAGGAGAGGATGGGAAATAGAGGAGGAATGGAAGCAAAGAAAGTCTTTGTGGGAGAGGAGCAGGCCTTGCCATGGTGGGAGTGAGCAGCAGGTAGCGGCTGTAGCTGGGAGGCTAGAGGCACAGGTATACAAGCACAGAGCTTTCTTAGATCAATCAACAAGTATTGTTCTAGGGTCTAGAAATACAAAAATCATAAATGAAACAGTCTCTATTTGCAAGGATCTTACATTCTGACATCCACCAAGATTCCTCCCCAACCCCACCATGCTTCTTCAGCCCCTCAGAGGAAACACATTGAATAGATAGCTTGGAACCAAATCAAGAAGGCTATCAATCAGCAAGAAATCAAAGTCCAAGCAGTTTTGTTTCTGAGCTGCTACCGCTCCTTTCTCCCCATCTGGAACAGCCACCTTCCAGACCTGAGACTTGCCCTCCAGAGACCATTTTCCTCCCTTCTCCCAACAGCATCAGGTAAGATAGAAATTTACTATCCAAATTTCAGTGAAAACCTTTGCATAATTATAATTGTTGAAAGGATTTAAAAAATGAGTATCATGATTTAGGAAGTACAACCAATAATATGCTTCTCTCATTTTGATTTGCCTACCTTTGTAGGGTATCTTTGTTAGCTTTTATAGAATCATACAGTTTGAGCTTTGGAAGAGTCCTCATCAGCCATTAAGTTCAACCTATACATGAAAGGGACACCTACTATTAACACACCTAATAGCTGGTCATTTAGCTTCTGCTTAAAGGTCTCCAAGGAGACAAAAACCACCATCTCTCTAGGCAGATCATTTCACTTTTGGACAGGTCTAGTTTTTAGGACGTTTTCCCTTATATAAAGGCTGCATTTGCCTCTTTGAAGCTTTCACCTACTGTTTCTTGTTCTGCCATCTGTGGCCAAACAGAACAACTTAATCCCTTCTGCATATGACAGCCTTTCAAATACATTAAAGATGATTATCATCTGTCCCTCTGCTCCCCCAAGTCATCTCTTCTCTAACCTAAATATGCCCAGTTCCTTGAACTGATCCTTATAAGAAATGGACTTCCTGGTTGCCCTCCTCAGTTTATTCTCTGGCTTATCAGTATTCTTCATAAGCCATGTTATCCAGAATTGAACACAATTGATATCTGATAGGGCAAAATACAGTGGGACTGTTATTTCCCTTTTCTTTGAAGCTAATAACAAGTATTGAAATAAACCAAACTTAGAAGTAGATCTTTGAATAGCTGTATCACAAAGTATAAAACCAAAATTGTAAAAAATAATGAAACCTATTTAATCATGTTACCCTAATTAAAATGATTTGGACAAAAAAGGACCAAAAAGGGTTTTGTTCCATTAATGAAAAAAAAATATTCTTTTTTAAAAATATATTCTTTTGGGGCAGCTAGGTGGCTCAGTGGATAGAGCTCTGGCCTTGGAGTCGAGAGGACCTGAGTTCAAATGTGGCCTCAGACGTTGACACTTATTAGCTGTGTGATCCTGGGCAAGTCACTTAACCCTGATTGCCTCACCAAAAAGCAAAACAGAAACAAAAAATATATTTTTTTAAAGTATTTATTTTATTTTTACTCTTTCCTCAGTTTCCTTTTTTTGTGGATGTTTTGTAGTATACATACTGTATTAATATAGTTATCAAATATAATTTACAAACCAGCATACATATATTGGAAGTGCCTGTTCAGACATTTTTATGGTGTACATGATTAATAAAGTTTGTACATCTCTGTTCTTCAGGTATACTCTCATTCAATAAGAGCTTTTTCTTTTTTAAATACTGCCCCTCATATATGTCATTGTTGCCATCAGTATAAGACAGCAGTCAGCTATCTTCCCATAACATCTAAAAGGCTTCCTTTTAAGTAATGAGTTGATTAGCAAATATAGCTTCCTAATAATTCCCTCATTATTCATTGGCATATAGTGATAAAAATGAGTATTGATACAGCTTAAATCTCCTTAAATTTCAGTTGATATTAGATAAATATTTTCCCTCAGGTCACTGTACTACTTCTTTTCTTTTAGATATAATAAAGAGTGTATGTATGTATAATCCAAGATGTCTCAAGATCTTTTAATGGTTGCTAGAATGAGCAAATGAGTAATAACACTTTGTTTTTTAATCTAATAGTTTTGTCTTTTTTTGGGATTCTTAGCCCATCAGAAGAGGATACAATCTTTACAACAAATAGAAATGTTAGCACTATCTTCCACTTTGCCAGTCTCAACAAATAGCATTTTTGATTTGCTGACCTCAGCCATTAGTTAAATAAACCAACCATGATCAAAATGTCTGCACAAACATCATCTTCAAATTTATTCATTTTAAATAAATAGCCATTTCATGGATTCCAGACATGTTTAGTGACACAAAGTAGATGGTTATACAGTAAATAGAAGTTTTTGCTGCATAATTCATGTACCATTTAGTAGAGGACAGCAGAGTTGTCTTTTTATAGGTGATATATTTAAAGGTTGAAAAGGATTTCTGAAGTGACTGTAGATTTAATGCTTTTTCCTTGTTTATTGAGATGTCTCAATGTAGATAGTATACTTACATTTTACCAGTGTTGGATAAACTCTCATGCTCTCCTTGTGAACAAGACAAAGACATGTGGATTTGATGGTAGTACAGTTAAGTAAATGCACAGCTCGACCCAAAGAATAGTCACTAATGGGTTGGTTCATGTCAATTTGGAGGGGATTTTTTGGTGGAATACCCCAGAGAATCTGTGATTGCTTCTGTTCTGAATTTTTTATAAGTGAGCGTGATGAAGTTTTAGATGACGTTTAGTTACATTTTCATGTGACACAAAGCTAGGAGAGATAGCTAACACATTGGATGACAGAGTTGTTATTCAAAAACATTTAAACAGGCTAGGTTGATGGGTTTAATCTTTTCAAAGATTTGTGGTTTCATCAAGCTCAGTTTGGGAATATACTGATCAAGATCATAACCTGTCTGTACTTAGCAGATAAGTCCTTGGAAAGTTACCTCAGGCACACAGAGGGGAAGTATCAGAGGAAGGATTTGAACCTACGTCTCCCTAAGCCAAACCTGGTATTCTACCCGCTATATCACGCTTCCTCTCATGTCTTGAATCTAATAGGATGAAATTTAATAAGAGATTAATCGCTTAAAAATTTTTTTTCCAATTGAAAACCTGTTTTCTCCCTCCCAATGGGGAAAAAAAAAGAAAGAGAAGAAAACCAAAATGTTTGTAATCTATTCATAATTGGGCAAACAGATTCCCATGTTGGCCTTGACTAAAAAACCAATGTCTCATTCTGCACTGAGTCCATCACTTCTCTCAGGAAGTGGATAGTGTGCTTCCTTACCCTCAGGAATCATGGTTGGCGTTACCTTTCAAAGTTATTTGACTTTACCATATTGTTGTCATTGTATGAATTGTTCTCTTGGTTCTACTCACTTTGCTCTGTATCGCTTTGCACAAGTCTACCTAGGTTTCTTGGAAATAAAAATCCTACACTTAATTTTTTTAAAAACCCCCTTCACAAGGACAAGATGGTGCAGATGTTGATAGCATGTACAAAATGTCTGGGATCCCAAGCTCACTCTGGTTCTTTAGTGTGTTAATAGTGGCCCATAAGATTAGTAGTCTTCAACTGTATTGAGGTGCGTTGTGTCCAGAATTAGGAAGGTGGTGGCATCACTGTGTTTACTGTGTTTTTGCCTTGTGAGACTGTATCTGCGTATTTTGTTGTGTTCTGGGCACCTCCAGTTGGGAAGGGCATCGATAAGCAGGAGAACATCTGGAGGAGGTCAGCATGGACGGTGAAGGGCTGAGATATGGTATACAAGGAATTGGTACTAGTTAACCTGCAGAAGAAAAAAATAGGTGGGGGAAATTGTAGCTGTCTTCTAGCAAGATTTCTTTTGTGTGGCTCCAGAAAGAGGAAAAGAGAATAGGTGGAAATTGGAGAGAGGTCGTTTTAGGCCGGCCATGGCAAAACATGCTAATAGTTATGCCAGAAGTGAATCGGGCTGCCTTGGTAGGAGGCAGATTGTGCCTCAGAAGGCCTCTGCCAGCAGGAATATCAGTCTGGAATGGTCTCTTTCCTTCCAGCTCTTCCAAGGTGATTTTCTGCATGTCAAGCAACACTTGTCTAGCTGCTGTTTTTCCATTTTGCGATACTCGTTTTCAACCTTAACTTTTTTCCTTCAACAAGTGTAATGATCTCACCTGAGACTGCAAATGGAAGGGGAAAGTGTCTTCTTCCATTGTCCTTTATTCCTTTGAACTGCTCTGAGATAGCTGACTCTTAGCTGTTTTATCTTCTTGCCTTGACTTTGGGCAAGACTCTTTTCCATTTTCTACTCAATAAAATGAGATAGTTGGGCTAGATATTTTCCTGTGTTCCTTTCATCTCTAAATCCTGTGATCCTCTGATTTTTTTCAAAACATTTTTGTTGTAATTTTCCACACATACAGAGTTTTTATCATCCAAGGCTTATGGAGTAAAGTATAGCATGGATAATTGAAAATGTGTATGGCACAGTCCAGGTACTTACTGCCCTCAGTTTCTTTGGAAAGATGCATCTCCTGGATTGTTATTATGGACACCAAATGT